ATATTTTGCACTTGCTTTGTTCATGTCCTTAGCAAAGATTATTTCTAATTTTTGCCTATTTATAACACAAGTTTATTTATTTATTTATTTGAGTTGCTGAGGGCCAAAGTTCGTATGAATACATTACTTCATTGTTCTATAGGGCGTTGCACTAAATACGTACTCAAAAGCCCCGACCACTATTCTAAATATAGCACATATCCTCATTTTCACAACATTATTCACAACCTTTAAATGTAAGAACTAAAAGATTAACAAATCATTAATTTTGTTGGAGTATCTGCGAGTGCGGTGTGATTTATCACTCTAAATCGACGAATACAAGCCACATATTATTTCAATCCCATATCCAAAGTAAAGAACCAGCAATCCTACAACTCGGTAAAAAAACACGGGAAAACGAAACAAGACAAACATCAGACTCCAAGACACAGATCAATACAATGCTACATCATGTTTCCAGATTAGTCACTCTTGACGGACGGGAGATACAGCACATGTACTCATCTGGAGCCGCGGGCATACTTCCTCTCCGGGCTGCCATATGGAGAATAAGACCTCTCTCTTCTTGATCTTCCGCCATAAGGTGAGCCGCCCCTAGGAGAATAATCGCGGCCACCTCTATAGGGTGAGCGCCTTGGTGACCTCCGATATCCATAGTCATCACGACCTGAGCCCCCACGGTACCTACTGTGATCACGTTCACGTTCACGATCTCGACCACGGTCACCTCGGTAGCCTTTCAAACATGCAGGTATTCAAAAATGAGAGAGGGGCAAACAAATCACAGAAAGGGAACAGATACCTTATTATGAAAGGCATATCAAACATACCATGGTCTCTAGTATTTTTCAGCCCAAGATAATGCCCAGGTGTTGGCGTTCTTGGTCGCTTCCTCCGAGACTGAAATAATTATAAATCCTCAATTACTGAAACATCCAGTACAGAATCTCAAAATGAAAAAAGAGAATCATAAACAAAGTTAGAAAAACAACAGAAATAATAATCCACAAAGAAACCTCATTTGTTATCGAAATGAAGTGATCAATCTGGATACAGAAACAATCACAAGATATCCAGGCACATATGTGATACGATTAGCGTCCATAAAACAAATGCCAGTTATGAAATACCATAAAAGCCTGATTAGAAAGTTGTTCGTAATGTCCGTGGATTAGTTGAGGGTTGAAAATTGAAAGTGAATGCTGAAGTTGTATAGTTGTTGGAATATAGTTGCTATGTTTAGTTGATCAGGCACATTTGAAATGCTGTTTAAGCTTGCCATTGATCAAGCTGTTTCACTAAAGTTGACGTGGATAAACTCATCATCTGTGATTGCTGCCAACATAGCTGACGCAATGACTTCTGAATATAACCAGAAAACTTCCAAGTCAAGAAAAAGAAAAACCAACCAAATGGTTTAAAGTTTATAACCATATTAAAATCACATTACCCTCTCAACAGTTATGTATCGACCTTCCAGAACTGACTGGTTGAGATGTTTAATGCAGCGTTCAGCATCTTCAACAGAGTCCATTGTAACAAAGGCAAAACCACGAGAAATCCGAGTCCTAGGTTCCATAACAAGAAAGCATGAAGCTACCTGAGAATGAAAAACAAAAATGAATTATAAATGAAAACAATTTGTCATTAAACCAAGTTTTAGTAAAATATTTTAAAACAAGTAAATTTAAAATAAATAAAAAAACAATAAAAGAGAAGCACCTTTCCCTCCTTTGAAAAGTGCCTTTCAACATCCTTCTCTGAGACCCTTGTAGATAGGCCAGTAACATACAGTGTATTTCCAGGATTTATAGCAGCAGACCTACCACACAAAAAAACAACTGAGTTGAGCACTAGCAGCACCTTCAGACCATGTGGCCAGCACAGAAAAATATCAGTGCCATAAATTGAAAGAAGGTATGACAAGATTCAACTTTAAAAACACGTATACTACTCAAAACCAAAACTAAAACGTACACCAACCTGCCAGGACTTCTGGACCTTGATCTGCACCAAAAGATGTCAACCATGTATCAGAAATATAAGTGGCACATGGAAGTTAAAGTTATTAAATTCAATCAGTAATATAGTGAAAAATTCATTTAAGCCAAAGATGAACATCAACCTGCCACGACTTCTAGAGCGAGACCTCTGCCTTGGTGGCCTAGACCATGATCTCGACCTTGATCGAGGCCTAGACCAAGACCTAGACCTAGACCTGGACCTGGACTGAGCTCTCCATGGAGAAGGGGATCGAGAATACCTGATTTATCCATAAGCATGACATAAAATATATGAGAATCATCAAATAAATAAAAACTAACTATTGATAATCTGATTTGAACCCCTCTGCAGTCTGCATAGTGAATCTACATAATGAAGACCACAAACTCAAAGCCAATATACCATACAAAAAAACGTTTGCCTATAGTGTGGTTTTAACAGACCCTATTAATGTTCCAAGCAAGAAAAGCAAGCCACGTGGATCGTACAACAAACCAATCGAAATGGAATCATATGAGCCCCTGCATAACTAGAGCTTCCCTGATTCAATAGTGTAACAATTCATAATTGGGCATTTCGCCCCACTATACGGGCCATATTTATAACATTCTGGTGAACAAAACGGAAAAAGTAACTAATCATCAAAGAGCATAAAACTCTCAGGTCACTTCATTCTATAAATCAATATAATTCAAACGTCAAAACTTCCAAGTCTAGTAGCGAATTACAAACAACTATGCTAAAATTACAGCACCTAGACGGTGAACACAAACCCTCTTGTGTAAGAACGGTTGGGCCATTAGATGATATCCGAAACAAACCCTCAAATTTCCCATAGAAATATCTTTCATAGACTACGGCACGGTACATAAAGCACAGCCATATGATTTTCTAACATGCGCCACATTCGCTCCCGCATATCTATCAACTGTATTCTACAGGTAAGATTGAAGCTCCTAAAACATGGAATTTGTGTGTTTCCTTTCTTACATGTACCTAGGAAGGGGCCTTAAAGCATCAAATTCGACACAAAATTCACGAAAATGAAAGGCAACCGGTCAAACGGACAAACATAGCAAAAAATTGTTCCCATCACCCAAAAAACAGTAAACATAAATTCCAACAGATCGAAAGCCTCAATGCATCTATCATGTTAAAGTGCAATTCTTTCTGTCAAAAAACATGTCAGGGTGCAATTCGGAACCAGAAATCGAAAAGAGGAATTGGGATTTTAGGGCTTACTTTTTGCGTGGAGAATCCGCCTGCACAAAAATATTAAAAAATAAAAATCGCATTAAAATTTTGAACTTTTATCGAGCATGCAACAGCTGCAGAAAATGTTTAGAGAGATTACCATTTTCAGAGGGCAAAGGCGAAGAGATCTAGAGAGAGAAAGAAGAGAGAGAGAAGAATCGAGGGAATTAGGGTTTGGGGTCAATGAGCTTTCTTGGAAGGGAAAGCGCTGGACCGGAAATTACATTTATATCTGTTCGAGACACGATCCCACACGGCGAGGCACATGTTTATTGGGTGTGATTTTTCTTTATATTAAAGAAACATAACGAGTTTTTGAGACCAAAACATAATGATTTTTTTTTTTAATACAATATATTTTTATATTAGAAGGGGGAGAAATTCGATTAAGACATACAATGAGCAAACTAATTTGGTATCAAATTTGTCATCCACGAAATTCAAACATAAAACCTTTCACTTCCAAGCGAAGATGAATATCACCAGATCATAATCCTCATGAAAACCTTATATTCCTGAGGAGGTTCTACCCCGTGAAAACGCTTTTTAATGGAACTTTAGCTGTAGCCGATCGTGACAAAAAAGCCATCGGTTTCGCCTGATGAGTCGAGAATGCCCAACTTATCAATTATCCTATAAATTAATAGTTTTCATGAATTGGGTAAATCGAAAATGTGACATCCCGTCCCGGAATTATCGGAACCGTACGCGTGGAATTACCATTTTACCCCTAGTTGTTTTGTTATGTTGTTTGGTTGTCGGTGTGGTGTTGGCAAGCTTTGGGCCACACACACACACACACACACACTGTCTCACTCACCCTCACCCTCTGGCTCTGTCTCTGTCACTCTCTCTCTCCCGTGTCTCTCTCTTTCCCCTTCTTCTTCACCATATATGTACGGACCAAACCCAAAACCCACCAAATCCTTGCAGATCGAGGGAACCAAGTACACCATCGTGATGGTGAGGCCGAGAGGAGTCTAGTGGTACCATTTTCAGGTGAGAAACCAGTCGTTTTCACGTCGATCTCGTAAGCTCCGTTTTGAACACTATTCATGCAAACCTAATCTAGCATGTTTTTGGACTTTCTAAGCTTGTAGATGTGTTAGTGAGGTCCCAAGGAGCTTGGGAGTGCTTCGTTGGGTGAATTTGGACGTCGGGAAAGCTTGGTTCAAAGTTGGCCGAACTTGGATCGTTGTTGCAGGTGAGATTCTTTGATTTTTAGGCCTTAAAACTAGTCTAACGTGAATCTACTAGTCCTAAGCTTCATTTTGGTATAAAGAACGTGAAAAATGGTTGAAAAACGAGTGAGAAAACAAAGTTGGAAAATTTTGCAGTTTTCCGGCGGCGGCGACGGCGACGGCGACGGCGGTTCGCCGGAGAAGACAGGGGAATATTCCGTTAGGGTTAACGGAATATTCCTAACGGACAGTAACGGCGTCAGTCAAGGTTAACGGAATATTCCAGGGAATATTCCTGACGGCGTCACTTGACGCCGTCAGCGTGCAGGTCACGTGGCCGCGCGTGGGGGCGCGTGGACCCGTGTCTGTGCTGGCGCGTGGGGGTGCGTGACGTGTCCAAAAATTATTTTAAAAATATGGTTGTGATCGTGAGGTTGTGTAGATCACGTTGGTATATTCATTTGTCCATTTTGAGCAATGTATGAGAAGTTATTTTGAACGGACGGTTATGTGCTTTAAAATTTACTTTTTTATAGTTAATTCGCATATAGGTGACACGTATCCTGAGGACGAGCGTGCACATTCGAGGCAGGGGGGCTACGACCCTTCTACATACCAGTGAGTGGGCTTTTGTTTTCCGTATATACCTATATACATGTTATTTCCCAGAAATTAGTATAAATACCTTGTTTTACGCCGTTAATTTTATATGATTGATGACTATGCATGATTAGTGGCATATAAGGGGATTTATATATTTATTTTTATGTCAATTACATATATGTTGGTGCTGTGGCGGCTTAGGTAAGTGCCAGGTAAGCTTTGTTTACATTCGCAGTAAATAGTGATTCGAAGTGATTAGAGAGCTCATAACCTGCACCCCCGGTGTTAGTGCTCCCGCCCAGAGTAGGGCACAGTCCTTCACGTGTTGTTCACCTCCCGCACCACACGCTCAGCTTGAATCCAAGTTAGGTGCACAGTCCTGTCGTATAGACCACTATAGGTGGTTCCGACTCGTAGGTGACCCGCGATTATTCGCACAGCCTTCACGTGATCGTAGCACTAGAGCGTCATATGTATTACACCCAGGCTTGTCGTACAGACCACTATAGGTGGTTCCGACTCGTGGGCAGGTTTAGGGAATGAGTGGTAAATTGAGCTCTAGGTTCAGCCGTACAGGTCACTTAGGGGACTCCGGCTGTCATTTTATTATTCTATTGATGTGATATACATACCTGAGCATTTGCATGTTATTATGAGGCGTTGAGCATGACGACATACATTTGAGCATGTTGGTATATCCTTGCGTATACTTGGAATATTTATACCTTCGTATATATGTTTATTTTCTGGGAAGTATACAGGTTTTACGGCGAGGGGTTATATTATGTTTTATGAAATGGTTTTCTAAGAGATTTGTTTTGCCCACTCACGCTTTTGTTTTTGCGCCCCTCCAGGTTCTAGTAGCTTAGCGGGTTCGGTGGTTTCCCCAGGGACGTCCCGGCATTCTGACAGACCTTCACCTATGTAGGGTCGCCTACGGGCGCACTATTGTCGTAACATTTATTTTTGGGCTGCTGTAGGCCTTAGGCTCTGAATTCAGTGTTTTATTTACACTAGCACATATCCTATTACTCTATATTTGCTAGTTTTAAATTATTCGCACTTTTATATTACTGTTTCTAGCTTCCGCACTGTGCACATGGCTACGTCACTTCCACGTGGCGGCCAGCATGCCCTGATCTCGGTTGGGGTGTGTCAGAAAACATGATTGAAGGATAAGTTTTTGGATTGTGGAATAAACGTTCTGTATCAGTAAATTCAACACAATGTCTTATAATCGTTAGGAATATCGTTAAAAATATAATTTGAAAATTTTTATTTTCAAATTTTAAAATTCAAATTAATTCATTTTCAACTTCAGAAATTAGCACTGATATAAGTAAACATAATTATACAACAAAAAAGTAAATAAAAAATCACTGCTACAGAAAAAAGAAAATTAATGCTACTTCACCATTCACACCGTCGAAATTCCGTACACAGATACGATAGATTGAAGTAAAATCCCCTTCCTAATATGTAGTCCAAGCCAACATTCATTTGACACAAATTCACAAAGCGTCATCATTTCACAGTACAAATTTACAAAACCTAGTCAACAACAAAGAACACCCACTATTTTCATCTGTTAACTCAAAGACGAAGCGACGTTTCGCTTCGAATTTTATTGCACGAATAACGTATGAACATAAGAGTGTCTAGAGATTATGTCGTGAGCATATCAGGAATTTTGACGGAATGAGATCCAAGTACCTTACCACCAACATCAGGGAAGTTTTCATGTCCCGGCAGGGGGCCGACCGTCCCATCAACATCTACGTGGATAGGATACTTCATAAGGTGACCCTGCAGTAGTGTAAACTCTGGAGATGTGAATCTCTTCCAGTTATTGTCTGCAACCTCATTTACTTTCCTCATACATTCCAAACTCTCAGGCTCTTCGAAGCATGGATGCAACGTATCAAGATGCTCGGCCCAAAGTGACATTCGATATCCATATATCTGCATGAACGGATGATTGGAAGTCCTCATTAAAGCATGTATTTCACTATTTCCTTCCGTTATATGCCATCAGAATATTTGGAGACAAGAAGAAGTTCTGAACTTGTAAGATAATTAGCTTAAAATGCAATTTAACTCGTTCTTTGAAAATAATGGAATAAAGGGGCAAGAAGGAACCGCTACTCTACGCTAAAACAACAATTACGACATCTAGTGCTAGTTGAGTCTCATGGACGCTAAAGGTAGTGGGCCATTGTTCGATAAGTATCCTCCTCAGACTCAGCCAAGAAAGAATCCTAAAATTATAAGTTGCAAAAAGCAAGAGAGAAGTACAGAAAGCTACAGACCTGACCGAGCGGATGTTTCTTCCTCGCAGCCCATGTGTAATGGGGTTGATACGCACCCATAGCTATCTCAGTGTCCTTTGTACCAGCCATTGATCTTTGGTTGATATTGGCAGATCCCAATATTACGTACTCGTCATCTACTACCATACCCTTGGCATGAACATAAATCATAAACCGCCGATTTTTTTGTGAATCGGAAACCTGAAAGTAAAATTCATTATGAAGAACATCTAAAGAGTTTGTCGCAGATAATAAATTAAAGTAAATATCTAACTGAAGAAGATATCTTATCCATTCCAAAATACAATGTACAGGTGACAGATTTTGACAATAACCTTCGAACCCATTTAGTAACCATTTCGTTTTTTTGGTTATTAGCCATAGGGATCAAGGTACCACAAGTTAACTTGGATCAACCAACGAAGCTAGAATTCAATGAGTTAGACTGTTAAAGTGGTGCAGATGACAACTATTTCGAATAATTACCGAAGACGCATCGTCATTTGCAGTATCCTCAGGAAGTGCTTCCCGGTTACCAAGGCAATAGAAACTTAGGTAATCTTGAGGATGTGAGCCCTGAATCTGCGCCGATTTCAGTGCCTCTGCAACAGTACTATACATTGCTTGCATTGTCTGCCTCTGCAAAATGCAAACATAGACAAGTCAGAAAGAAACTTTCATGTATCCTTTCGGTTCTTATTTCTTATGCACTTCTCAAGTCCCTTATCATAGACATCTAAGATTAGATACCAACACTGTTGTGAACAACATTACATAAATAATTCTGAGCCAATAATTTCCATGAACAAATTCTCATTGATTCTCAACAAGGCAACATAGAGCAGCGTATATTCAAGCTGCTAGCAAATAGAATCAATGACATTGAAGCAAAAAGTCCATCGTTCTTTATCATATTCATTAAAAGATCATAACATCCAATTTAGCATTCCTGTTTAACAAATAACAACCATGTGTTTTCCGTGTATATTTATATAATAGATATTCACATACCTGCCAGAAGAGAATTTCTTGCATTGCGAGAGTTTTTGGATCACCTTCAGGCCACATAGGTAAAATGACATACACCGTGAATCTCTCATTAGCTTTAATTTTGCTAACAATTTTTAATGCCAACTCCATTGGGATAAGATTATCAGCTCCTGCAGTGAAAATATTCAGATAAATTTGAATCACAAGAAAAGAGATATTTACCATCAATTAATCACTATGTTTTCTTAAATGTTTGCAAATAGAAGAAGGTGAATTTGACATAAGCTAAGTGGTTACTGGTTAGGTGGCAGGTGCAACAATATTGGGTCATTGCGGCTATAATTCATGTAAAACCACCATGAAACAAAATGGAGATGCAAAATTTCAATATTTCTAGTCAATTATGGATAATATGACCGCAAATTGAGCTGCTTCTCATGTACAAAATGCTTGAACTATAAATTCCTAGTGCAACTATGCACACATGAAATAACCAGCTACTGTACTGTTTTACAAAACTAAAATTTTTCTCCCAAAAATATAAACAATAATTCCTAGAAATCAAGCATTACACACTGTCATCTTACCTGCATTTTTATAATCTGGCCATGCATATGATGAACCAAGAAAATACTGATTTTCGATATATATAAAGTGTTGGGCGGATCTGATTGCCTGGATGTAAGCTGTTTGAATGCTTTTATCTATTACCAGATTCTTTGAGCAAATAAGATGCTGCAGTTACAATCAAGAGGTATGATCAGATGTAGTCCGTACATTTAAAAGTATAAAAAGGAAGACAGGGCAGGCAAGAGGGGGAATCAAATAAAAACCTTGGCCTCTGCAGCATGGCCAGCCTTGGGAAATCCTTTCAGTGATCCTGAGTCAATGGACCGGAAAATCTACAAAATAAAGAAGAAAATAACAAACTTGATTTTCCTTTTTATTACAGAAACAATAGAACATCTGTGTGTGTACTGTGTATGCACACTTATGTAAAATTATTAAAAGAAACAGAAAACAACAGAAAGGAGGGCAAGAGAGTTGCATCTCCACCTGAACATGCCAATTTTCAGGATCTTTTTCATCGCTAACCCACAACGAAGGTTCGTCTTCTGGAATAATTGTACTATCCTTTGAAACAGATGGGGGAGGACTTAGTATCCAGGAGATGCGGTCAATTTTTATCAATGCATCGTCATGCCAATGTGAAACCTTCTTACTCAGTAGTGCAAACTCCTTCCACCGCGTTGCTTTCCTCCAACGTTGCTCAAAGTTTATAAGAACATCATATGCAGCAGGCCCATCAACTCTACAGTGCAAGTCATGCCATGGTTGTCTTGGAGCCTTGGTTCCAGCCTATCACAAGAATAAAACACAAAAATGCAGAAAGATATGCATTACAGCAGTCTCATTTTATTATCGTTGTAATTGCACAATAGAATTTTCAGTTACGGATTTTGAGTGGTTGTTGAAAAAACATAATATCATATACAAAGGATGCTTGTAAATGAACTGCAAGAAAGAAAAGTATAAGAAATTCATGACAGGTGCTGAAATAATATACAAAAAACAGAGGATGAAGCAATGCAGGAAATAAAACCCCATCACCAATCACTTACAGGAAAAGTAGGTTGATGAACATCACCCTTAAATACAGTGTCAAGATTACGAAACAGTCTGTGCTCGGGTGTGTCATAACGACCATCACAAAGATCAAGACCTCCTAAAAATGCAGTTATCTTCCGATTATTACCATCAGCCTGTGTGTCCACAAGAACACATTTTTGATGGTGGGTGAAAAGGGTTCCAACAACCTGTACAAGCCCATGCAATGCTTGTTAAATTCAGCAAGTTGATCACCTCAGATAAAAGAACGTAAGTAGACCATAAACTATTCTGAAATAAAATAAATCTCCTATAAAAGCAATAAGTGGCTTGCAATGAAAAAGTTATTCTCAAACCAAAGAAGCTTATAACCAATTATACCCGAACGGTCAGTAAACAGGAGATATCCATAACAAGGAGATTGCAGTAAACAAATGAGCAAATAGCAAAAGAAAAAAAATTGTCGATAAACAAAACTACAAAATGTCATAATGAAACCTGCCTGTTGTTTTATAATGCTAAGCTTACTGCTAGCGTAGCGAGTTGACAGCACACAATTTACAGATGAATGCTTGAAAAACTTCCGGGTTTCTTCATCATGCGTCCCCATCATTCCTGCCTGCATCCAATCCAACTTCACATTAAGACCCAATTTCCATACCATCGTATTTAAACTAACACAAGCATTCCACAACTACACAATGCACTTTAAAAGTTCAGAGATGATGGCAAACTTCCTAGGCAAGTTTTGAAGGTGTGAAACCTCCCGATTTAACTAATTAAATACCACTTCTAACACCCCGTTACCCGAAATCAAACTAAATAATCCAATTTGCACATGAATATCACAATCAAAGACATAACGTATAGATTAACATATCAGTTATATAAGCAGAAAAAAGCAATTCACAACTACAATGCAGGTTAGAAATGTGACCGTTTTGAAGCCGAACTTGTCGTGCGAGGACTTATCGTCCCACACCAACAGCAACACCCTCACGCCCTCCTCCGACTTGTACTTGAGCAAATCGCCGAGCATCAGGTCGCCGCCGCGCGGCAGCGGCCGGCTCGGCTCCCGAATCAGCCGCACCTTGTGAAACACCGACCAACCCACAATGTAAACCAAGTGGTGCGCCTCCGTAATCGCATAGCAAATGTCCTCCCAT